GCGAGGGGCAGGCTGGGCTCACCTGGACTTGGTCACAGGATACCTCGAAGCTGAAGGCCTCGTTGTAATAGGGGTTCAGCGTGTTCTTCTTGATGGTGGTTTTCTTCTTCCGCACCTTCTTGCCACCCTGCAGCAGGTGCACCTTGACGTAGGGATCTGGGGAGAGAGCCGAGAGGTCTCGGAGTTGTCTCCCCCCCCCCGTGAGTTTGGGGAGCGAGGGTCTGATGGGGAGGGCACACTAGGGTTTGGGGACACCCCAGGTACAGTACCTCAGGTGCTCAAACAGGATCTCCACCTCCTCGTGGCCGCCCAGGGCCCCTCTGTCCCCAGACGCTCGGAGCCCCGGAAAGCCCCGGAACCGAAGCCAGAGCCCCCGGTTCCTCACCACTCACTCACCCGACAGCCCCCCCATGTCCATCTTCTTCAAGTTTTTAGCTTCCAGGACGATGACGGTGAGTTTCCCGGCCGTGGGAACGTAGCGGAGAGAGAAGCAAATGTCCCCTAGCTTCTCCTGCTGTGAGGCGGAATGGAAGCCATCACCACTCTCGCCTGGCCCGCAAGGTCGGGTCTGCCACAGGCAGACATCAAACTCTGGGTGCCCAAAGAAACCAGGGAAGAGCACCAGGAGGCCTGGACTCTGATTGATTGGTCAAGGCACCAGGAGGCCTGGGCTCTGATTGGCCCAGGGTGTAGGGAGAGAGCTGTGGGTGTGGCCGCGCATGCTCACCTCCTCTCTTGGAGCCACCTGCAGCTCCTGCCAGGACTGTACTGGGCGCCCCAAGTCCACGGAGCTCATGGGGACCCGCACCTCCCCGATGGCGTCATTGCGGGAGAAGCGATCGAAGTCATACACTGCCATGACCAGCACCCTGCCCCCCAGCTCCACATACGGGACCTTGGGAAAGGGGTAGGAAATCAGAGAGGAAGTGGGGTACGATACATTCAGGTGGAAGTGGGGGGGTAGGTGGGTCCCAGAAAAAAAGTTGAGGGAGATGAAAATGGAACCCAATAAAGAAATACAAGGATCTATGGGGGGTAGGGACCAAGGGTCAATGAAACCCAAAAGGGAGCCCACCCAGCTCCGAGGGGTCACCAGTGCCCCCAAAGGACAACTCTGTGCTAGAAGCCCAGTTGGAAGCTGCCACCTGAGCTGTGGCTGCCTCTAGGGAAAAGCTAAAGGGGGTGTCCCTGGCCATCCGGGGTCCAGCTGCAGGTCTGGGGCCAGACTCAGGTCTGTCCTGGCCATCTGGGGCCTGGGCGCAGGGTCTGTCCCCCGCCAGTCAGGGGCCTGGCGCAGGCTGAGAAGCATAAGCAGTCACCACTGCACTACCTTGAAGGCAAAGGTCTCTCCAAAGTACGGGTTGAGCGTCTGCCGATGCACCTTGGTCTCATGCCTCCGGCGCTTGTCTGGCAGCAAGTAGACGCTGACATATGGGTCAGAGGAGCCCCCCAAGTCCAGGGCCACCAGGCCCTCCGCTTGCAGAACGCCTACCAGAAGCTGCAGGTGCCAAGCCACAGAAGGAGGACCCTTCTTAGCCTATTTCCAGAGCCTCCTCTGGAAAGAATCTGTGATCCTCTGGGGTCTCCCAACCCCTACCCCACCAGTACAGACTCACCTGGCCACTCTGGAAGTCATAATCCAGTGAATATTGCAGCCGTCCTAGCTCCTGCTTCTCTGCCACCTGCTGTCCCCGCCCAGATGGCGCCGGGTCCAGGTCCTCCACTTCCGGCTGCACCTGAAGGGACCAGGGACAATAGCAGGTGATGTCTTCCCCTGATAACCGAATCATCCTCAAGGCTCATAAGCCCTGGGAAGTTCACAGATCCATTCCTTGGTCTAAGCAGAGTCAGAGTTTGAAGAGATGGGTGTGGTGGCTACTGTGGTGGGAAGGGACACGGGACTATGATGTGTGGGGCACTGAAAAGGGACATAGAGGCTGTAGGGTGGAGGAGCTAGGCTGGGCCACGTACCCTGTCTATGTAGCTCCTGCCTAGTTCCTTCACTTCCTGGAGGTAGACTTGGGCTTGGGCCTGGCTTTTCTTGCCCAGCCGCTTCCGACAGCGTTTCACATAGAGATAGAAACAGCAACTGAAGAGCAGGAGGCCAGCGCCTAGCAGGAGGGTAGGCAGGACCCACGGAAGCACTGGGAAGTAGAGGGGAGACAAGACAGATTTAGGTCCCCAGAGGCAGGCTGGATTCCCTGTAAACGCCGGACTCCTGGCCTCATGTTCCACTCCGGCCATTCCTCGTGCCGTCCTTCCAACCCACCTCACCCACGAAGCTAGCTGACGCCCCAATCAGGCCCACAGCATCCGGGTTCCCTCTTTACTTCTCCTTTCTTCCCCATCCCATTGTAATTGCTGCTCAATCCATTGATGTCTAGGGTTAAGACTGCCTCTTCTTCCTGGGACTCAGTTTCCCTATCTGTAAAACGGAGGGGGAGGGGAGCCTCTCCTTCGCAGGTGGAAGACCTCATTCTGTGCTCCGCCCTTGAGCCCTGGTTTCACTAGGACGCCAGTTCCATCCTTTTCCTCGCCTTTCATCCCGATTCCCGACTCAAGATCCCAGCCAGATCCCACCGGGTTTTCCAGCCCGTCGTTCCCGGGGACCCCACGGGGCCGAGCGCCTAGCCTCGGGCGTCTCACCTGCGCCCCGGTGGAGGCGGCTGGAGTCGGGTGGCGCGTCGGGCGCTGGGGGCCCTTGGGTCGCGGGCTCCGGGAACATGGTGGCGTCGGGGCGCTGTGGTCCCAGCTGCAGAGGCACCCGAGCGCCCCGGACCCCCACTCCCACCCCCAAGCACCCACTGAGTCCTCCGAGCGACCGGGAGCCCAGCTCCTAACAGCCGCGCGCTCAGGCCGGGGGCCGCAGTTCCCTCCCGGACGCAGCCCCTGGACCCCGAGGCCCCGCCCCGCCCGCCCCTCCACAGCACCGCCCCCATAACCCCGCCCCTTACCTTCCTCCGCCCGCCCGCCCCCTCAATCCGCCCCGCCCACCCACCCAATTCCTCCCCGACCCCCCCCAGGGCCCGCACCGGAAGTGGGAAAGGCCAACGTGGGAACTGGGGCGCCGGGTTGCCCCGGGCAACCAGAGCGGTTCATCTTGGGCGGGGCGGGAATCCCTGGTTGCCGAGCTACCGCCTGTTGCCAAGACGACGGGCGGGGCTGACGCACGGAGCCAGGACCCGGACAGAGCAGGCTGGCTCCCCACCCCACCCGTGCCTGGGACCCTTGCTGACCCCCGAGCGGGGTCCCCGGATGAGAGCGAGGGGGGGGCTGCTCTGCATCCTCAGCCTCGCTACCCCCCCTCCGCACCCTCTCCTCGCGGAGGGCGGGGCGCTTACCCTTCCGCCGCCGGGCCCCGCACGCCCCCTCCCCCCTCCTCTCCCTGCTTCCGGCACTGGCAGCCGCGGCCGTCCGCACTCCTCGCGGAGACCCCCCTCCCGCCCGTCCTCCCCGAGTGCGTCTCGCTGCCCTCCGCAGTGTGCGGGCTCCGTCGGAGGGGGTCCCCCTCCCCGCCCTCCTCCCCCGACCCCCGTCTCTTTGTCTCGCACCTTTAAATCCCGACTTCCCCCCTCCCCAGCATCCCTCCCCTCGCCCGTCCCCCGTCCCCGAGGGGTGGGCTCGGCCGAGGGTCTGGGCAGCTCCTACCTGCGGGGCGGTGGGGAAGCCGGCTGGGATCCACGGGAGCCTGGACTCGCCGTCCCCGCCGACACGTGGGCGGCGGCGCTGTCCCGGGTGCTGATCTCCGGGCCGGCCTGGGCTGCGTGCGCTCCGCCCCGGGAACGCGCTCCGCCCCGCCAAGCCCGCGCCCCCCCCCCCCCCCCCCCCCCCCCCCCCCCCCCCGCTCCTGCGCACACCGGGGACCAACAGACTCCTCTGCGGCCCCACGCGCCCCACACACTCGGCCAGGCTCCGGGCGCGCAGCTTGACCCGGAGAACTCCCGGAGGCCCGGAGGCCAGGGCCCAGCCGCCGCAGTCCAGCGTCCGGGGACCCCGGCCTTCTCCCCCAGGGGCGACCATGCAACCTACATTTCTTTTTTGCCGGTCTTGGGACTTGAACTCAGGGCCCGGGCGCCGTCCCTGTGCCTCTCTGTGGTCAAGGCGGGCGCTCTACCACTTGGGCCACAGCGCCACTTCCGGCCTTTTTGAGTAGTGGATTGGAGATAAGAATCTCGCGGGGACTTTTCTGCCCCCCTAGCCTGGCTTCGAACTTCGAAACTCAGATCTCAGCCTCCTGAGTAGCTAGGATGACCGGCGTAGGCCACCGGTGCCCGACTAAACCTGCCTTTCAGGTAAAAAACAAAACAAAACCATGATCAGCAGCCCACGGGGCTGGGAAGGTGGCTCAGCGGTAGAGCGCTTGCCTTGCATGCCTGAGGCCCTGGATTTGATTCCTCAGCACCACATAAGCAGTAAAAGCCGTGGCGCTGTGGCTCTAGTGGTACAGCCCTAGCCTTGAGCTGAAGAGCTGAGGGACAGCGCCCAGAGTTCACACCCCATGACCAACAACAACAACAAAAAACAAGATCAGCAGTCCACTCCCGCCCCAATTTCCCCCTTGAGACCCAGAGATCCACTAGAGCAAACCCTGCCTGAGAGGCATTATTTAATAAATTATGGTACAGAAAGAAAACGCACCCCGACGGCGACCGCAGACTGACTCCGATTCTGAAAGGAAAACCTGCCCTTGTTCCTCCCATCGCCAGAATTCCAACCCAGGGTCCATCCTTCCTCAGAATCCAAGTTCCAGACTGTCTCCTTGGGACCCTGAGCCCGGGAGAGAAATCCCCAGATCCCTCCCCCCCTCCCGCTCTTCCCAGGAACCAGGAACCCGCCCTGGCTCCCCTACACACTCTGGGTGAAAGCCCACCACACCCAGTCTCCTGGGGAGACAGGCATTCAGTTCCCAGTCCCTCTTCCCACCCACAGTCGGCTCTCCTCTGGACTTCTCACGGGATGAGGCGCTGGAGGAAGCACAGGCAGACTCCGCCCTCCATAGCTCAGACCTCCCGCTGCTGGGCCTGGATGGCTTCGGAGTTCTGGTAGATGAGGCAGGCCCCATTCTCGAGCATGGCCTCATTCTGGGGGGAGGGAGGGGCTGACTGCTGGAGGTACTTCAGGATACAATGGTGCAAGAACACATATTGGGCCTGGAGGGAGGCACTAATATGAGGGGGCTGGCCCAGGATCCCACACCTGCCCTCACTGCCCTGGGTCTTCTGGAGCTCCCAGCCTGGGGAAGAGGCACGGGGTGAAGAGGGGCCCTCCCCATCACCTCAGTCTGCACCATCAGTGGGCGGCTCTCTCTCATCCTCCTCACGAAGCTGAAGGGCCCCACAAGCCCCTCACATTCCAGCTGCCGGAGCAGGACATCCAGGGCGATGAGTGTGCCTGTCCGGCCCACACCAGCACTAGGCAGGAAGGGGGACCATGGTCATGCCATGGAGGGGAGGCACATCTGAAGTCCTGGCTGATGGGGAGGGGGTAGTCTTGCGGAACTCAGGAGCCTCAGCATTGGACAAGATATGGTTTCAGTGGGGACTGCTTAGGTCCAAAGTCATGCTGCCTTGGAGTCTTTCTTTCTGTCAGACCTTGTTCTCTGTGCCTTGCGCCCTTCTCACACCCGTACACCTTCTGTGTTCACCATCTTCCTTTCACTTACCTTGAAAGACCCCGAGGACTCACCTAACGACTCTGAGTCCCAAGAGTGACTCTCACCTGCAGTGCACAATGGGTGGGCCTCCCTCCACGGTCTCATCCAGCCACTGACGAAGCAACTTCCAGAAGGCCAGCAGAGGCTCTGGGGAGTGGGGGACGCCATGGTCTGGCCAGGCCAGGTAATGGAACTGGCGCACAGATAGAGTCTTCTGCTCCTCCACCTGGAGGGAGAGGGGACGGCATATAGGTTTTGGGGTTTGGCTTCTACACCTAATGGTTGGTTTCCCAGGATGCACAGCAGGGATGATGGTGGGTTTCCCAGGATGCATTGCAGGGACAATTGTGAGTTTCCCAGGATGCACTGTAGAGATACTTCACAGAGGGTATTCTGGGTGGGGTGAGTGCTCACATGGAGGAGCTGCAGCTCCCGCACCGTCCAGGACTCTGTCACCTCCTCACTCAGCAGCGTCACCCGAAGAAGCCCGTGGGTACAGGGCTGAGAATCCAGAGGCCAGTAATGCTCGCATTTCACCTGGGGTAGAACCAGGGAGTCAAGCCCAGGAGCCCCTCTGCCTGGCTCTTGTGTTCAGAGCAAGGAGGCTCCCCTGCACTGACAACGGGGTGTCTCGTCACCATGCTGTGACAATCGCATGCCATGGATGTCTGCCAGCCAAGTGGGCCCATCCATCCTGAGCCCGATCATACCCTTGCACAAATGTCCATGTTGGAAACTTTATCCCCAAAGGTATCTATCAATGGTATCTGAAGGCGGGGCCTTGAGGAAGTGATCAGATGAGGTCGTGAGCCTCCTGGATGGTATTTGTGGCTTTATAAAAAGAGGGAGGGGCTGGAAAGGTGGCTCAGTGGTAGAGCACTTGCCTTGCATGCCTGAGGCCCTGGGTTCCATTCCTCAGCACCACATAAGCAAAAAGAAAAAAGCCGGAAGTGGCACTGTGGCTCAAGTGGTAGAGTGCTAGCCTTGAGCTGAAGAGCTGAGGGATAGTGCCCAGGCCCAGAGTTCAGGCCCCACAACCGGACCCAAAAAAAAACGAGGGAGAGACTGGGTAGGGGATTACCTATCTGCAACCCCAGACTGAGGAGTGGAGCTAGGCAAAAGGAATGGCAGAAGCCAGCTGGGGCTACACAGTGAGACCTTGTCTAAAAAAATAAAAGATGGAGAAGAAACAAAGGAAGAAGAGAAAAGCAGGAGGAGAAGGAAGAGGAGAAAGAAGTGAAGGAGAAGGAAGAAGAGGAGGAGGAAGAGGAGAAAAAGAGAAACAGGAGAAGGAGAAGGAAGAGAATCAGGCATTGGTGACTCACACCTGTAATCCTCACTACTCAGGAGGCTGAGATCCAAGGATTGAAATTTGAAGACAGCCTGGACAGGAAAGACTATGAGACTCTTTTTTTTTTTTTTAATGGTCTTGGTGCTTAAACTCAGGGTCTGGGTGCTGTCCCTGAGCTTTACTGCTCAAGGCTAGTGCTCTACCACTTTAAGCCACAGCGCTACTTCCAGTTTTCTGGGGGTTAATTGAAGATGAGAGTCTCAAGGACTTTCCAGCCCACGCTGGTTTTAACTGCAATACTCAGATCCTAGTCTCCGGAGTAGCTAGGATTTCAGGCATGCCCAGCTGTTTGTGAGACTCTTGTCTCAAATAAACTTCTAAAAAAAATCAGAAGTAGAGTTGTGGGTCAGGTGGTAGAGGGCTAGCCTTGTGCAAAATGCTTAGGGATAGCATCCAGGCTCTGAGTTCAAGTCCCAGGACTGGCATACACACACACACACACACACACACACACACAGAGAGAGAGAGAGAAGAGGAAATAAAACAGAAGCAGAAGGAGAAGGGGGAAGAAGGAAGAGGAGGGGGAGGAGGAAGAGGATGAGGAGGAAGACGAGGAGAAAGAGCAAGCTTACTCCATCACTGTGGGATACTCTGCCACATTATGGTGCATATTTAGACTTCCAAGCCTTCAGAACCTTGAGCCACATAGACTCCTCTTCTTTATAAATCGCCCAGTCAGCTGGGCGCTGGTGGCTCATGCTTGTAATCCCAGGAGGCTGAGATCTGAAGATTGCAGTTCAAAGCCATCCCAGGCAGGAAAGTCCATAAGACTCATCTCCAGTGAACCACCAGAAAACCAGAAGTGGTGCTATGGCTCAAGTGGTAGAGCGCTAGCCTTGAGCTGAAAAGCTGAGGGACAGCGCCCAGGCCCAGAGTTCAAGCCCCCATGACCGACCAAAAAAAAAAAAAAAATATATATATATATAAATCACCCAGTCTATGGTTCTCACAGGAACAGTTGATGGACTGAGCATACGCACACACCCTCCCCACCACCTCACCTCTACCCTCCTACTCTCAGACCAGTGGACAGCCTGGTGGAGGAGCCCCTGGGAAGGCCAGCTGGGACTGTTTTAGACATATCTCATACTGGGGTAGGGCCCCTCTCTGGGAGGGTGGGGTGGGAGTGGAGGCAGGTTGTGTGTGGGAGGGTCACGCTCCACACAGAGATCCGCCCTGGGACAGAGGTCTCCTCACCCGGCTGGACTCCACACAGTTGGTCAGCATGACCAGAGTGTGGCTCTGCTGTTCCCACACCAGGCGCCAGAAGTCACCCACAGTGTGGGGCAGGGGACCCTGGGCTGCGATGAACTCCTGGGCACTCCAGAGACCCTGGGCGAGGCAAGCAGGCAGTCAGGGGGTTGGTGGGTGACTGTCCCAGAAGGCCTCTCCCCCCTCCCCAACCCCCACCCCCAGGTGCCCTCGCAGGCTCACCGGCAGGAAGCTGGCGTTAATGTAGTCTGACCCCGGCTCATCGTGGAGGGGCTGCAGCGGTACCCGTGACCAGTCGTCTACAAGAAGGCACAAAAAGTCGTGGCCTTAGCCGTGCACATAGACAGGGCAGAGAGACCCAGGGAGGGAGGCTGGACAGACCTGGAAGCCATGTGTGTGGGGGGGTGCATGGGCACACACAAGGGTTTGTCTGTCATAGAACAGGGATGGGGAACAGGGATGGGGGCAGTGGACAGGATTGAAGCTGGGGATGAAGACAGCACAAATCTAGGACTCACAGGGCAGCACGTTCCTGTAGCGGTTTTTGGCCATGTTCTCTGGAGCAGAAGCCACCATCTGAGATTGGCCGTGGCCCTCCACGGCCAATAACTAGGACAGAGATGGGGGGAGGGGGGGTTGTAGAGTTCCCCAGCAGAGCCCCTGGAATTCTCCTTCCCCTCCTGTTTGCCCTTCATACCCTGAGATTCTGTAGCACCCACACAACAGATGCTGGGCAGCTACCCACCTCTCACCTAGGGAATCTATCAGGCTAACAGGAGACGTGGGGATTTTTTCAGGAAGGCAAGAGGGTAGAGGCCAGGAGAATGAAAGACCATCCCTGTGGGTGTGAGTCACTGGAGGAAGCAGCTATCCTTGTTCTAAGCTATCAGTGAGCTGAGGGCTAGGCATGGCCATTTATGCCTGAAATCCCAGCTACTGGGGAAGCAGGGAAGGAGGCTTCAGTCCAAGGCAGGCATGGACAAACATGTGAGGCCCTATCTAAAAACAGCCTAGAGCTAGGCATCAGTGGCTCATGCCTGTAACCCCAGCTACTCAGGAGGTTGAGATCTGAGAATTGATTCAAAGCCAGCCTGGGCAGGGAAGTCCATGAGACTCTTATCTCCAATGAAGCACCAGAAAACCAGGAGTGGTGCTGTGGCTCAAGTAGTAGAGTGCTCACCTTGAGCTGAGGGATAGCACCCAGGCCTAGAGTTCAAGCCCCATGATGGACAAAAAGAATAAAATAAAAATAACTAAAGAGCCAAGTGCAGTAGATCATGCCTATTATCCTAAGATCAAGAGAATTTCAGTTCAAGGCCAGGGCAGAAAGTTCATGAGATGACACACATACACACACACACACACATATCTCAACAGAAAAAAAAGGGGAGGGAGCTGGGAAGGTGGCTCAGTGGTAGAGTGCTTGCCTTGCATGCATGAGGCCCTGGGTTCAATTCCTCAGCACCACATAAGCAGAAAAAGCCAGAAATGGCGCTGTGGCCGAAGTGGTAGAGCACTTGCCTTGAGTTGAAGAGCTGAGGGACAGTGCCCAGGCCCAGAGTTGAGGCCCCATGACCGACCAAAAAAAAAAAAGCAGAAAAGTGGAGCACTGGTGCCCACACCACTAATCCTAGCTATTAAGGAGGCTGAGATCTGAGGATCACAGTTTAAAGCCAGCTTGGACAGAAAACTGCCCTGAGCCTCTTATCTCCAACTAAACCACTCAAAAACTAGAAATGGCATTATGACTCTCATAGTAGAGTGCTAACCTTGAGCACAAAGAGCCTCGGGGACAGCACCCAGGCCCCAAATTCAAGCCCCACACTGACCAAACGAACACCAAAAAGCAGAGTGAGTTATGTGGCAGGTACCTGCCAGGAGGAGAGCTGTGGTCCAGGAAGGCCCCAGAAAGAAAACAAGACCCACAATAGCACCCAAGTAAAAGGGGGAGAGGTATGACTCCAGCGATGCAATGCTACCTAGCTAGCAGGAGGTCCTGAGTTCAAACCTCAGCAACACACACACACACACACACACACACACACACACACCAATAGTTGAAAAGATAAGCACGTCCAAGGAATTCTCTAGAACTGAGCAGATCCTAGCATAACTCTTACTGCAGCAAGCGGAGGCAGAAGCAAGGGAGATCATGAGTCTGAAGCCAGCCTGAGCTATAGATACAGCAAATACAAAGCTAGCCAGTCTGAGCTGGAATACGGCCCAGCCATAGAGGGCTTAACTGCTGAATGCCAGACCCCTGGCTCCCTGGCACAGCTCAGGAATGAAGGTTTACTGCTTTTGCTTAACCCAAGGGCTGAGGGGGTTTGGGTGGGGCAGGGGCAGGGCTGTGCAGAGCTCCACTCCTTCTCTGGTCCCCGGACCTGGTACTCCTCTGCAAATCCATAGCTGCTGTCCTTCTCATTTTTCCTAACGTGGTCAGCAAAGTCTTTGGCCAGGATGTCCCCTGGGGAGCTGTGGTAGGGAGAAGGAAAGGAGAAGATGTCAACCTGCAACATGCAGTGCTTTGGGGGTAAAAGAAGAGATGACTGCCATCTAGCAATGCCACTTCTGGGCACAAACCCAAAAGAAAGGAAGACCGAGGCTTGCCACACTCATGGCAACCAAGTGTTCTATGGACTCACACACAATGGAATAGTATACAGCCTTCAAGTGAGTCTGACACACGCTGTAGCATAAGTAAATTTGAGGACACTGTGTTGAGAAGTAAGCCAGATTCCTCCCCACCCAAAAAAAGACAACTAATATACGATTCCACTGTGTGTGTCAGTACCAGGGCTTGAATTCAGGCCTTGAGTGCTGTCCTTTAGCTATTTTGCTCAAAGCTACTCTTTTTTTTTTTTTTTTTTTT